TCTACTAGTTTCAGCCTTTAAATTTTTAAAAAATCACTAAAATTTCTTAAAAAATATAAATTTTTATATTTCTAAAAAATGTTAGTGTTACATTATGGTTTTTCATTATTTTACCAATAATATGTAAATATTGAAAGCTTCTCTAATGTCTGATTGTATGTTGTCCAATACATGCAATTCACAATCAATAATTGTTGGCCTTTTTATGGAAGAAATACATTATGTAATAAAAACAAAACAATGTGCTCTATTAATAAAAACAAAACAATGTTCCTAATGAAACCCTTGTTTTTCTATTAATTTTGCTTTTGTTATTTCCCTTTTTAACGTTTTCTTACTGATTTATGGGTTGAACATTGATGAGCCATGCCTATTTTGTTTATGTTTGATACTTTTAAACATACATTGGTTTGGATTTTCCATTTTATTAGCGATATTTCTTTTTGACTTTCATAACTACCTAGTACCTTTTCAAAGCATGAGTTGAATCACAAATTTTTGAGCTTTTTAGAAAAAAAAAAAAAAATATTTTTTGAGATTTTTAGAAACAATTAATTTCTTTAATTATATTTTTGGGCGTTTCAAACTTTTTGAAAAAATGTGTTAATCTACATTGGTTTGTACTATTTTTAATATCTCATACATAATTTGTACTTACATAATTTTTAATGTAATATATTCACATAATTATACTGACATAAGTTTAACATAATTATATTAAGTTATCAGCACAAATAAATAATAATAATTTTAATATAATTATACTAATTTTTGTAAATTAATTATATTAGTTTTTTTTTGTAATTCTATATAATTAAAAATTAGCTATATGTACTTTTATTTTTTATAAATTATAAAAATTGCCTTTGTATAAGCAAGAGTGAGATGTTAATGGAAACGTACAGGTCTAGCTTTGATTAATTCGTTTACACACCGTCATTTTCTCTCAAATTTAATTAATTTTCCATTGTATAATTTGTTTACAAACCGTCATGAGGTTGACACAGTCATTTTTCTCTCAAAGTTAATTAATTGGCTCTTGTATAAGCAAGAAAAATGACTGTGTGGTATTCTCCAACATCACGCATGAGAGCCTGTTGCCCATGAGGTAAGCCTCATAGTAGGTGCACATATGAGTGGTAGGTGGCTCCCATGAGTGATAGTGTTATTACCATTATTATAGTTTTTTTCTAATTAAATCTTGATTCTTTTGATTCTCCATTTTGCTCTAGTCAGGGTCGTATGAGACTATAAGTCCCCATATCTTGATGACCATAAGTCTTTATATTTTTTCAGATTACTTCCAACCACATCATTAAGTCATTCCACTTGAATTTCTAACCACTTCCTTTAGTCCTTCGACTTGAACTTATTAGGATTTGTCCTTCCACTTGAATTTATCAGGACTCATGATTTTGATAAAATTTTACATTGGTTGCCTACGTAACGTCACCATGGGATCCTCTTTCAGTCCTTCCACTTGAACTTCTAACTACGTCCTTCAGTCCTTCCAAACCTTCCACTTGAACTTCTAACCACAGACTGAAGTCCTTTCACTTGAATTTATCAGGATTCGTCCTTCAACTTGAACTTATCAAGATTCATGATTGGTTTTAGCAAAATTCTCAGTTGGCTTACGACCTAACACAACCATGGGACGGGTTAAAAGAAAGTTTAAGGTCAATAACTTTTCTTAGACCATGAGTGGTTGAACTTATCGGGATTCGTCCTTCCACTTGAACTTATCAAGATTCATGATGGGTTTTGGCAAAATTTTACATTGGCTACCTACCTAACACAACCATAGGATAGGTTAAAGAAAGTTTTAGGTCTTCACCCTTCTTAGACCATGAGTGGTTGAAAAATACAACGTGCAATATAAGGGTGGGCTACCACAATATTTTTTATTGAAAAAATGTGGAAAAACACGATCCATTTAGGAACTGTCTAATTATCTCTTCAATTTCCTGACAAAGAACTGATACGAACCGATTCGAATCGGTTCTAGGGGACATGGCCAAAATTTGGATCCGGATCGTTCAGGATGATTTTTTATCCAGATTAGGCGATTTTGATCCGAATTAACAATATTTGTTCTATGTTTTGGGCAGTCTGAAATTATCAATTTCTTGAATTTAGAACTGAGCTTAAAATAAATATAAAAAAATCTTATAAATTTAAGACCTAATCATAAAAGGTGTGGTTTGTATAAGGTTGCAACTATAAACAATCAAATAAAGTGCACCTCGGTAACATGCAGCTTCAGTAATTGTAATAAAATGTTACTGTCTCTAAAAAAAACTAAAAATAAGGTGTATCTCCAAATTTTATTATAAGATGTAATTTTGGTGTAAAAAATTCTTAGGAAGAATTATTAAACTCAACCATACCACTCTTTAACACCGAAACTTATTTCTCTACTCAACGATTTTACTATGAAGAATTACTACGCGACTGCATCCAAATTCACCCTCACAATAACATAAGCAACTAAAACCTTGTTAGGAAATGCCGGTTTTAGTTGCATAACTGAGTTGCGCCAGAACTGGTGGTCGCTATATACGAATGCAACTTAGGATTGGAACCTCACATATGGGTAAAATGCAGTAAATGGTAGGGGTGGCAATGGACCCGGGACCTAGTGGGTAGACCCAACTTGTGTCCGGGTATAGGTCTAAAAAATGGGCCCGGTAGGCTGGGTTTGGGTCCACAGTTTGGACCCGAACAGTATTTGGGTCTTTGGTCTGGGTCCAAGTCGCACATTATTTTTTCATGTCCCAATCCATGAAATATATTTGAATTTATAGATATTTTAATTTTGAAAAAAGTTTATATAAGGATGCTACCTTATAATGTAGAACTATGTATGCCCTTCAAAAATCCATCGGAAACG